TAATATATCTCCTCTACAAATACCTGGACCTGGGTAGGTGCCATGTGTCCAAAAATAGAATATTGGAAACTGACCAGTAGTTGTTTGATATAGTGGGATCTTGGGGGCACAAAAATAACCCTACTTAAATTGGACTGCTGCTTCCATCAACTCATGCCACAGTTGCTGGGTGGTGGTGGGATGCTGGGAGTTGTAGTCAAATAGCATCTGGAGGGCCACCCTTTTGCCCACCCAGCCCTTACAAGGGTGAACAGTAGTGATTAGGTTAGGAACTTGAACTTGTATCTCTCCAATTTGGTGCCATTAAGGTTTTATATCCACTGTAGAATCATATAATCATAGAGTTGGAAGAGATCACAAGGGCCATCCAGTCCAACCCCCTGCCATGCAGGAAATCCCAATCAAAGCATCCCCGACAGATGGCCGTCCAGCCTCTGCTTAAAGACCTCCAAGGAAGGAGACTCCACTGTCGAACAGCCCTTACCATCAGGAAGTTCTTCCTAATGTTGAGCTGGAATCTCTTTTCCTGGAGCTTGCATCCATTGTTCTGGGTCCTAGTCTCTGGAGCAGCAGAAAACAAACTTGCTCCCTCCTCAATATGACATCCCTTCAAATATTTAAACAGGGCTATCATATACCCTCTTAACCGTCTCTTTTCCAGGCTAAACATCCCCAGCTCCCTAAGTCGTTCCTCATAAGAGCTTCATGGTTTCCAGACCCTTAACCATTTTAATTGTTCTCCTTTAGACACACTCCAGTTTTTCAACATTCTTGAATTGTGTTGCCCAGAACTGGACACAGTGTTCCAGATGAGGCCTGACCAAAACAGAATACAGTGGCGCTATTACTTCCCTTGATCTAGACCAGGGACTGGCAACCTACGGCCCGGGGGCTGGTTAAGGCCCCGGTCCCTGGATTTACCGGCCCAGGCCGAAGCTTGCCGCCGCCACTGCCGCCGCGCGCCACCACAACGGTGCATTTTTGCCGCTCTGCGGCCACGCTTGCCACGACCGCCATTTTGGAAATCAAAATGGCGGTTGTGACACGTTTGCGTATGCACAGTACTCTTGCGCATGCGCAAACGCGTCACGGTTGCCATTTTGATTCCCAAAATGGCGGCCACAACATGTGCTGCCGCGGCGGCATCCGCGTGCGCTGCGGCGG